TTTAAACCCTAAAGAAGGTCTGCTTGCGCATTATGCTGCTTTAAAAACCATCAGTATGGGATATATCTATATGGGATCCTGTGGGCCATATAATATGAATAGCTTTGAGAAGCTTGGGAATCCTAGAACACTTAATTGTTCTCATGTGACACACAGTTCAAGAGGCTGGAGTGTGAGCAGAACAAGATAATGCTGTATGGCTTACAAACAAGAAAGATGTGTGTCAAGATTGTATCATCTCACTATAGTTATTCAATCTCCATTCTGAGCAAATAATCAGAGAAGTTGGAGTATATGAAGAATGAGGCATCAGGACTGGAGGAAGGCTCATTAACAAGCAGCTATATGCAGATGGCACAATCTTGATTGCTAAAAGTGAGGAGGACCTGAAGCACTTGCTGATGGAAATCAAAGATTGCAGCATGGAGTATGAATTACAACTCAATGTAAAGAAAACAAAAATCCTCACACAACTGAACTTCATCATAAATGGAGAAATATTGAAATTGTTAAGGACTTCCTGCTTGGATGCACAATCAATGCTCATGGAAGCAGCATTCAAGAGATCAGGTGATGCACTCTATTGGGTCATTGTGCAGCACCAGATTTCTCAAAGTGTTGAAAAGCAAGAGCGTTAATTTGAAGAGCAGATATCTTCAAATGCTTTCTATGAATGTGAAAGTTGAACACTATATAATGAAGAATGAAAAAAGAATCAATGCCATTGAACTATGTTGCTGACAAAGAAAATTAAATATGCACTGCCAAAAGAACCAACAAATAATTCTTGGAAGAAGCGCATACCAGAATACCCCTTAGAGGGAAGAACGGCAAGATTAAATCTCACATGCTTTGGACATGTTGTCAGTAAAGACTGCACAACTGGAGTTGGGCATTACACTCGGTAGAGTGGCAGCAAAATAAGCAATGCCCTCCATAAGGCAGATTGAGACAGCGGCAGCAACAATGGGCTCAAACATTAAAAAAAAAAAGTGAAGATACTGTAGCACTGGGGAGGATGTCATTCTATGGTACATTGAGTCACTATGAGTCTGGACTGCCTCATAGTCACCTAACGTCGATAATATAGGTCATAACATGGCAGCAGCCAATTGAAAATCTATATAGTACATTGAGGAGGCAGAGAGCTTATCTTAACAAAGGAAACATGACTAAGGAAAGGAGAGTGAGAATGCTTGGATAAAGTGAGGATGTAATCAGAGTCCCTGAATTGTACATATAGAAATAGCTGAATTGGATTATATTATGCTGTATATTTATCTCTTGTCTGTCAGTTTGTCCTACTGTGGTGACTTGGGTGCTGCTGTGATGCTGTAAGCTATGTCACTGGTATTTAAAATACCTGGAGGGTCACAAGAGGTGAACAGATTTCAATGGAGCCTCCAGAATAAGAGCAGATTACAAAGAAGGAATTAAGTAGCCACTGAAAACCTCATACAAAACATGGAAACATGGTCAGCTACTGAAGCGCTATTGAGTGCAAGCAGCGCATGGTCAGTGAGAGGGGCAGAAGATGGGCTCCGTGGGTCAGAAGGATTCAAACTATGACCGGGGAAGAGTTAGTTGTCTTCCCAAAGCAGAGCTGACTATAATGATGTGGATGAAGTAAGCATGTGGGGGTAAACTTTGTGGACCTTCATTTGTTGATAGGACACCACTCAAATTGAGAAGAAAGAGCTTCAAAACTCTAATAATCCATACTTAAAATTTACAAAGTATGAATCTAGGAAAAATAGAAATCATCAAAAATGAAATGGAAAGAATAGAGATCAATATCTTTGATATTAGTGAGCTGGGAAGATGGGTATTGGCCATTTTGAAGATCAAAAAACATCATATTGTTTTCTCTCCTGGGAATCACAGAATCAAGAGGAATGGCATTGTATTTGCCATCAAACAGACATTTCCATATCTGGCTTGAAACACAATGCTGTGATAGGATTATATTTATCCTCATTCAAAGAAGTGCAACCAATATGAGTATTATTTGAATTTAGACACCATCAACAACAGTTAGTGATGCAAAATTTGAAGAATTCTATCAGTGTCTTCAGTTGTAAAAGTGAACAAACATGTATTAAAGAGGCATTGATAATTATTGGTGATTGGAATGCAAAAGTTGGAAACAAAGAGAAAGAAACAGTAGTTGAAAAATATGGGCTTGGTGATAGAAAAGAAACTGGAGATCACATGGTATAATTTTGCAGGATGAACAACTTGTTTATAGGAAATATCTTTTTTCAGCAACATAAAAGGCGAATATACACCTGGACTTCTCCAGATGTAATACACAGAAATCAAATTGACTATCTGTAGCAGAAATGATGGAACAGCTGAAATATCAACAACTAACACCAAGCCAGGAACTGACTGTAGAACGGATCATCAGTTCCTCATATGTAAGTTCCAGTTAAAGCTGACAAAAAGGAAAACAAGTCCACAGGAGCAAAAATATGACCTTGATTCTGTCCCACCTGAATTTCTAGAACATTCAAGGACCGATCTTCTGCACTGAATACTAATGACCTGATGAGCTGTTATGACATCAAGAACATCATTTATGAAGAAAGCGAAAGATCATTAAAAAGAAAGAAAAGATCAAAATGGTTATCAGAAGGGACTCTGACCCTTGCTTTTAAATGTCGAGTAGGTAAGGCAAATGGAAGAAATGATTGAGTCAAAGAGCTGAACAAAACTTTTCAAAAAGGCATCTGGAGAAACAAAGTAAAATATTATAATGAATTGTATAATGACCGAGAGTTAGAGAACCGAAAAAGAAGAATACACTCATTATATTTTAAACCGTGAAAAAAAAAAAGTCAAGTCTATAGTGGAAACATTGAAAGATTCTATGGGCAGCGAAATACTGAATAATACAGAATGTATCAAAAGAAGATGGGTAGACTACACCGAGTAACTCTACCAAAAAGAAATAGTAAACATTCTATCATTTCAGAAGGGAAACATCTGAGCAAGAACTGGTCCTACTGAAGGAGAAATTCAGCTGCATTGAGAGCATTAGCTAACAACAAGGCTCCAGGTATTCATGGATAACCATTTGAAATGTTTGAACAACCTGATCAAGCACTGGGGGCACTCGCTCATCTATACCAGGAAATTTAGTTGGCAGTTTTTTGGCTAAGTGACTGGAAGAGATACATATTTGTACAAAGAATACGATACTACTAACTACCTACATTATAATCTCAACTGTTTTCATTTTCTACTTTATAGGATATGGAAAATTAGGGAAAATAAAATAGCAATATTTACAGAAACAAACTTTCTTTTGTATTTTTTGTAGTCGTTAAACAATAATATATGCACTTGTAATAGAAGTAGTAGAAGTCATAGTAGTGGTGGTAGTAATAGTTTAAGTGAAATAAAGTGGCACGAATGGTAGATAAACTGATTTAACAAGTAACATGATTTAGGCATTTGTTAAAGATTTGCATATATTGCATTTTGATGCAAACACTGTTTGGCATTATTTACTACATTTAAAAAATATATTCAAAGCATACTATTTAGGAAATTGTAGAGCTAGAAGGCTAACCTATAGCCATCTAATGACTAGGTCTGTATTTTTAACCCATGCTGTACCAGGCTCTATTCAAATAAAACTGCTATTAAAACAAAACAAAACAAAAGTCCTATTTGCATTTAAGACTCTTGTGCAAGTGGATTTAGTGATACATCCGAAGGAGAAATCATAAAATTTCTGAGATAACCTTTCGTTTGCGGGGCTCCATAGAGGACTCTCCACAATGTAAGTGAAAGTAACTGGGCTCCTTGGATGCAGCCTTTGGAAGTTCCATATTTAATCTACTCTTAGATATGAAACGCTGTAGGATGGCTTCCCATATTGCATGAATTTGAGTGCTTTGAGGCAAAACACGAAATTCTACGTTTGTGTCTCTTTAAGAAACCACAGGACAAGAGCGACCTTTGTGCATGTCTCGGCTTACTTCTGAAGTCCAGGATGGTGAAATTTGGCTTGATGGCAGCCTCAGGGGAGAGTCTGAAGGACAACTGCTGCCCAGCAGGTGACAGATCTCGGTCTGCAGCGCTGACAATCTGAATGATCTGAAACGGAATTGAGATGAAGCTTGCAGTCAGGCATCAAGTTCAAAGGCAAATTTACACATCGGATTAACATGTTTACTTAATGAAGTATGCATATAGGTGGACATCACACCTTTAAAAACTGCACCAGTGGGTCAATTATTTACAAACGCTATCTATGGATAAATAACTACCCTTGTACATGTAATAATGCAGAGGATAAATGACTGGGAGTGGGTTTATTTTGAATCAATAGCCACCTAATTAAAAAGCTTAACATCACATAAAATTTCACCTATAAGCAAAATAAAATTAAATGCACTGGCTTGCATTTTAAATTAGAAAAAAAAAATCCTTTCTTAGCCTAATTGAGAAAATGCTTACTGAAAACAAAATCTTTGATTATTTAAAAGCCTCTGAAAGAGCAACATTTTAGTACATGCACATTTGTAAGATTAACTTTTATTTTCATAAAAGTGAAATGATAATAGAGATGCTACGGATATACACCTGTTTACAATGCTTGTTAGCTTGATTCGGCAGAGGAAAGTGGCATAGGTTTTCTTTTTTTTAAAGGCTAACCATTATCAACTTGTTCCACATTGCTTCATCTTTGTCCCATGAAGCTTCTGGTGGTTCAGGATTCCAGCCCAACATATAACCACGACACCATCAGGCCTCTACTCAAGCATTAATGTATTTTATTCCTGGAAAACTTTCAACCAGCACATTATATAATTCCTACTGATTTGAAATCATTAATTGTTTAATTACATAACAATCAGGCCTTGGATTTTATTTTTTAGTTTCTACAAAGTCGAAAATGCCTCAGTCATGGAATGTATACAATCCTAATTTCTTCACGATTGTTATTTGTGTGCATGGATTCATGAAGCATCCACTGTGTCAGACATCAGAAGAGCCAGCGGAACCCTTCCTGAACATGACAGGGGCAGCAATAGGTAAACGAGCACCTTGGGTGCACTCTGTTCTTATTCATAATGAAGGATACAGCACTCCTTATATGTGAAAGTAGCGCAGAATCCTTCATGTTGTAATGCAGTTTTTGTGTTTCTCAAATTAACAAATGAAGTATTCGATCAGCACAGTCCAATAAATGTGTGTGCAGATGAAAATATTCCTGGTTTGCACCGATCTAAATGTACATAGAATATGACTAGTGTAAATGAGAAAAAAGATTTACTGTCAATATTGATTTAACTGCAATGACTAAATGTGTCTTGTGGACATCTCCAAATGAAAGGTACGTGTTCTAAGATATGAAACATTCAAATGATAAAGAAAGAAAGATTTAAAAATATCTTTTCTAATAAAGTTAATTGTAGTAGTCACATAAGTTCTTGTCAAGTTGAAGATATATGAAAGGGTAGGGGTGGTATTTAACCTGTCAATCAGATCACAGCCTGATGGTGCTTCCTGATGGGCGTGACCTTCTCATGAGGAGGGTCCAGGGAACCTCCCTTCTCTCTCTGCCTTCACCTTCCTGCTGGCTGATCCTGACTGCTGCCAGAGCCTGGTGATGTTTTCCCTGCCATTGGATCCACACAACGTTGCCCCCACAGACCTGTGATCTTCCTGTATTGAACATCATTGCATGTGTCTGCGTGAGTCTGAAGAGGGACTGACGGTTCAGTATCAGACGTATGGACCTGAGTTGGACTGGGCTGGGAGGCTTTCTGTTCATATAATTACTTCTTGATAAAAAGCTCTTTCTTACACATATCTAATGTCTCTGGATTTGTTTCTTTAGTCAACCCAGCCTAACACAATATTCCTTAAATAATAAGGTTTTTTTCCACATAACTATTAAAACTCCTCACATTTATTTAAATTTGGAAGCCTGCTATCTAAAGATAATTGGAATATGTAGTAATCCAAAACATCCTGATGTATTTGTCCTTTGGAACTTTGGCAAAGGAATTAGTCACATTCTAGCTTCATGACACAAACACATTATTTACACATGTACTGGTCACTCATTCCATTTAAAATAGTGTAGGGGAAACAATGCTACTTACCACGATGCCAAGTAAAACCAAGGACTTTGACAATACTTCCTGTAACTATTCAGCCTCCCTCCATCACGCTTCCTGTCAGAACTTCCCCTAACAGCCACACTGACCTGATATGATAAATACGCTTAGGAGATTGTACACACTGCATATGATCTCCTTGAGACTACAGAGAAGAAAGACTTTACTTTGTCGGTAAGTTTAAGAACTAATTTTTCATGCCTTCAACAAAGCATGTGATCAAAATAAGAGATACTTTGGGAGGATGCACAGTTAAGTTGTTTTCTGACTGGTTTGATTCTGACATGTTCTTCCACAGTTAGGGAGCTGACAAATGTATTAGAATCAGCAATCCTATATCCTTTTGGCATACAATGAATGTTCCCTAGGCCACCGGCTCTTTATCCCAAAGAATAAGTGAGAGTTTACTGTTTCATATGGTTTCTTTTATGAATACAGCTAATCTAGAAAGCTATATACATGTGAGTGTGTATTTATGTACGCATAAGGTTTGTGGTGACTCCTTCCTCCAAAGTGGGGAGCTGCATCCTTTTTCATTGTCTGTTCTTCGTCTGGAAGCTCTGCTGAAACCCGTTTGCTTTGGGTGACCCTGCTGGCCTTTGAAATACCAGTGACATTGCTTCCAGCATCACGGCAACACAGAAGCCACCACAGTAGGCAAACTGCCAGACAAGTGGTGAGAACAACAGCTCAGGCATAGGAAGAGTTGTGAGGCTTGCGCAGGATTGGGCAATGCTTGTTTCTGTTGTGCATGTGTCGGAACTGAATTGAGGGTGCACAACGACAAGATTTATGCATGGATACATAATGGAAAATACATGGCAATATTGGGTTTTTATACATTGTCAGTTAACAATATCGGTACCATACCTGTCCTGGTTTGGCATTTTCACACACAGCTGTCTCATATGGCACAGATATTTCTGGAGGAAATTCATTGACATCCAGAACATTAATTAGCGCATTGACTTTGCTAATTAATAATGGGTTACCTATAGAAAATATAACAAAAAAGAAGATAAGTACAAGATCTGATCAATTGTTATTTCAACAGTCATACAAAATAACTCAATTTTCATTTACAATCATAAAAATTCATTCCATTATGGAGAATCCTGAAGCTGTCATGCCCATTAATGAAAGATAAAAGGATCACAAGCATTCACTAGATCAAAGTTTTTCCCCGAATCTCAACTACCAAATAAGCTGGTATTTTATAACAAGTGGAGACCTGATTTTTGGGGGGTTCCACAACCAGCTGCCAATCCAAAGTTTGGCAAATTGAACCCATTAACTGCTCCATAGGAGAAAGATGTAGCAGTCAGTTTTTGTAAAGATTGTAGCCTTGGCGCCTCTGTTGAGCATCTACTCTCTCCTCCGTGGTGGCTATGCATTGCAAGAAACTTAATGACAATGAGTTTTTCAGAGGAAAGCCTTTCTAGCAGAGAGACCTAACCATCGCACCAGCTTTAGTTAACAGAACCAATCTTCACTAATAAAAAATATGCTTGCACTGGATACAAAAAAAATGTATCTATGCTGTACCCATACTGTTAAAATATTAGTGAGTAGAATCATCTACATATTTAAATTACTTTTTCAAAACAATCCCTCCTGGGATATGAAAGTTTTGTCCATGGAAGAATAAGTCAAAGAAAAATGAAGCAGAGAAGGCTTTTTCAGAGATGAAAATTAAAATAACAGATTTCAAGCAATAAAAGTAAGAGATTCATTATGAAAAGCTTGGCTACATCCTGACTTTAGTAAAGCAAATAAGAAAGGAAAGAATAAGCCCAAGTATACCAAATAATGAGATCTTTTGAAAGTACTAAAAATAATGTTGGATTCAAATGGTGTCTCTTCCTAAATCTCATCCCAAGTTTTCACCACTGTAGTGACTTATTATCCACACTCTTGCCACTTCCTTTAGGACATTATACATAATAAATAAGGCCAAGCATAACACATTTTATCTCATTTAAGGCAAAACTTTATCTTATGAGTTAAATTATTATTTGGCATATATTTACAGATGATAAGCTATATCTCAAATTGCTGAATGACCTAGCTAGTAAGATAAGTAGCTTTCTGAGCAATGAGACTCCATAGGACATGTTTATTTCTCTATCACAACATCTCTGTTGATTAAATGTTAAATCCCTAACCTGTCATTAAAGACATATTATTTTCTAAGTCCCTTCCTGGATGATTTTAAAGAAATTTTACTATGTGAGTAATTCTGACAAATCTATAATACCTTGCTGAATTAGTGCTTATTAACAATCAAAATCAAAATACTCTAGACCAGTGCTTTGAGTCCCTGAGTGGTACAAATGATTTAGCACTAGAATAATAATTGAAAGGATGATGTTTCAAACCCACACGGATGTGTCTTTGAAGGCAGTCCTAATGATCTGAACTTTACCTATTTAAACCTCTACCCATGATTATGAATCATGGTAAAACAGGGCAGAGTCAAACTTTCCCATAAGGTTTCCAGTGCCAGAAATCATTATGAAAGCAGACTGGCACACCTTGCCCCTGTGGAGCAGCTAGAGGATTAGATGAAAAAACACTGTAAGGTTTCAGTGTCATTAGCTTCCTACAGTAAATGAGTCTTCAGATGCTTCTAGCCCCAGCTGTCAAGACTTTCTGGCACAGATGTTAAGGTTCTCTTTTGGATATACTCTTGGAATTTCTTAGATAAAGAAACTGAGAGTGTGTTTTGCAGCAATACCTAACTGAACCATGACGACGAAAATCCCTAATACGTATGACGAGAAAAGCATACCAGTTTGAAGTCCTCATTTAGGTAGAATCGTTCAAAGGCTCGTGTGACTGGTGCTTGGTGCTGAATGCTTACTGGTGATGAACAAGAGAACATTCAGCTATGATTCCATCATGATCTTTGGGCTTTCTCAGAAGGTGGTTATTCATTTATAGGGCCAATAACCCAAGAATGAGCAATATTCAACACACACTGCTGCTTTTATGACTGGGCTTAAGAAGTCACTTTGAAACGTGCATGCTGATATTTTAGGAGGTAGGGTTGTCATGAACCCCTTCCAGATGAGAGGAATGGAAAGATAACCCCACTTGTAATTGGAGGGAGTTTAAGCCCTGTTGATTGACTCATGAAGCAAAATAGATTTACAAGACACCCATAAGACAAGCTAGATCTACAATTGTGGCCATTTTTGAAACTTGAATGGAGAACTCTGTTTTGGAAATGGGAATGCTTGCAAATGGATACCATACTTGGCTGTTTACCAAAATGACAGCGGCTGTAATCCACATGAACATGCTTTAGCAGGCAAGCTCGACCAACACACATTTATAAAAAAAGGAGTCACTAAAAGCCCTTTGTAACACAGTTACACTCTGACACACAGGGCATTGTGTTATATCAGATTCTGCTCAGTGACGATTCGTTGATGGCTGTTGACGTGTGAGATTTCTACCAGAGGCAAAGAGAAGCCTTTGACTTCATCCATCCCCCTTTGTTCACGGTACATCAGGTACACCTAAGATTTCATTTGACAAAATATCCTGATAATCTCCACAATTTGAAAGGCATCTGTCCAAAAATAACTTGTTAATGGTGGAACAATTTAGGACAGTATTTCTTTATGATTTGAGGAAGAACCAAAATTTGAATCAATGTCTTATTATGACATTTGCTTCTGTAATGAAGTGAAATTACACAGCACGGCTTTTGTAACCAGCGTCTTTATACTTCCCAACAAGCGACTAGAGATGCAAACATGCCCATCGGGTGCATGTGAATAAAAGGTCAACTGGGTGTAAATGTGAACCATCTCTGAAGCTGGAAGAGATCATCTCAAAACCAGCAAAAATTAAGAGCAACAAAAGTATAGCACATCCCAGGTTGCTGCTCAGAGAAGTAGGAGCAAAGCCACAGCATGAGCCAGTACAGTGGACTCCATAGGCCACAGAATGGATAAAGCAGTTGGAGGAAATCAGCAATAGCTTCTGTGTCATTTCCTCAATTACTTTAAGACATGTAATATATTAACTAAGTCAAAGAGCAAGGAGACACTTCCTGAAATATATATATGTATGTAACACGAGCCACAGCTATATTATATTATTTTCAAGATTAAGGACATTATTTTATAAATTCAGCCACAGCATATATCTAAGAATTATGGTCCAAGTGATGAAAATTTTCCTAGGAAACAAGTAAGAAGGGCAACTGAAAATATGAAATCAGCAAAATGCTAAAAAAAGAAACCTATATTAAAATACGCTGAAGTTATTTTGCTTCTTTATTTAAGACTGACATCTGCTTTTGAATAATGATCAGAATAATGATCAGACACAGAACTTTAATTTTGTTACTGTGTACTAAATTTTAGCTACAATAACTTCAGTAATGGAATCTTAGTCTTTTATACCAAAAAACTGAATTATAATAGTACAAACTAAGCAAGATATAATGATCTTGCTTGCAAATAATAGAGACTTTCTTTGGCTTTGCTCTTTAAATCAGTTCACTTTTAAATTACAAGTTAAGTACAACCATGTCTAATAATAGCTCTGTTTAAGGTACAGTGGTATGATCTGCAGCTAGACTGAGAAATCCATAAAGAGGATTTAAATTTTTCATACATTCTTATGCTAATAATCAAGGATTACCTTCTGTGATGTCTGTAGAAAAGAAGAATGATCTTGAAGAAAGGCAGACAACTCTTTTAAGATGCCTCTAATCAAGATCTTTTTCACTCCATGAGAATCATGACTTTAACGACCATAAGGCAGGGACTTGAAGGCAATTCCAACTAATAGGGAAGCCCTATACCTTCCAAGACTGTAACTCTTTACAGGAGGAGACAGTCTTGCCTTTCTCCCATGGAGTAAATGGTATGTTTGAATCCTTGACACATTAGTTAGCAACCCAATGCTTTCCAGACAGCACCACCAGAGCTACTTTCCTGACATCAAGGTAGTGCCTATGTCATATTCGAGCTCATAGAGTTTAATTCAGTGTATATGGTGTATTGCTAATTGACTATATAAATGAATAAATTAACATTTAAAATCAGATTGAACTGAGAAGGAAATGTGGGTCAGATCCAATTCGTAACCAGAGTGATTTTCTATTAATACCAATTGTACTAACTGAGAAATTAATACATTTGAATTATGATTCTGGAGAAGAACATTGGAGATACCATGAATCACCAGAAAAACAATCTGTTTTAGAAAGAAGCACATCTAGAATGCTACTAACATGCTTTGGACGTGTTACCAGGAGAGACTAGTCCCTGGACTAGGGCACCGCACTTGGTAAAGTAGAAGGTGAGTGAAGAGACTGACACAGTGAGTGCGCTGACGGACTGAAACATGACAACAGTTGTAAGGATGGGCCAACCCTGGGAAATGTTTCATGTTAAGGTATGTGGAGTCACTCTGAGTCATAATCAAGCAGAAGACACCTCACAAGAACAACAACTCTAGATATTGACCAATCTCCATCATGATAGTCAACATATAATTCTTGTGTTCATACATGTTCAATAGGACCTCATTGTAGGTACCACTGCAATTTGTATTACACTATCTAATATTTTCATAATCTTACTCAGGGGGATTTCTTTAGTATACACCCAAGATTATTAAATCATTACAGTGTGCAATATGCATTATCATCATTTTGTAAAAAGATGATTTTATACCACAAATAGCTACTATATATCAGTTGTTAAGTAATCAGATTCCAGAAGCGCATACCAAAAATAGACTAGGCCAATAATTTAAGATTCTTTATTATTTTTATTCACTGTCCCCACCAATCTAGAACACAATATCAATTGAATGTTTTCTTTCAGTTCCTTGCTTTTTCTTATTAAATTATTGGGTTAACTTGCTTCTTTTTTAGAAAATTGTCATTGTCCACATCTTCCCATGAGTATCTTGCTTGTTCTCCTATGCTGCCCCTTGTGCCTCCTACTTCTTCAGATGTTTATGC